AGGAAATGGGTCACACTGATGCACTCAGCAAACTGCCTCTGCCTAATTTAGAGCCAGACCCCACACCTGCTACACACATCGTGTCAATTTAGGACTTGCCAGAATCTCCCCTTCATGCTGGGGATGTGGCTGCTGAGACAGCCTCCGACAAAACTCTCAGCCGAGTTTTGAACTGGGTGCTGAGGGGGTGGCCAGGAACCAGTCCTGGGACAGAGTTTCAGAGTTTTATTAGAAGACAAGATGAGCTGTCTGCATACAAAGGATGTATTCTATGGGGGAATAGAGTTGTAGTCCCACACACACTCAGGGAAAGAGTTTTAGAATCTCTGCATGAGGGACATCCTGGAATAGTAAGGATGAAGGTACTTGCGAGAAGCTACCTGTAGTGGCCAGGGTTGGATAAGGATATTGAGGCTCAAGTTAAAGGATGCCAGGTTTGCCAACAGTCCAGACCTGAAATACCTCAAGCCCCAGTACCTCGCTGGGAAACTACACAAACTCCCTGGTCTAGGATTCACATAGACTATGCAGGACCCTTCCAAGAACAGGTGTTCCTCATTGTAGTGGACAGCCACTCAAAGTGGCTTGAGGTAGCACCTGTCCCTTCATGACTACTGCCAGGACCATCCAGGAGCTGCGCAGAATCTTTGCCACACACAGCTTACCTGATGTAATCGTATTGGATAATGGAGCACAATTTACTGCTGCTGAATTTCAGTCATTTTTAAGGTCTAATATGATTAGACATGCCACCTCAGCCCCATTTCACCTGGCCTCTAACAGTCAAGCAGAAAGGATGGTCAGGACGACCAAAGAAGCACTCAAAAGAATGACAAATGGCGATTGGCATCACAGGTTAGCAGATTTTTTGCTCTGCCAACACATAACTCCATGCACATCAACAGGTCATAGCCCAGCGGAGCTGAGGTGGGGACGTCAGCTGACCACGAAGCTGGACTGTCTCCATCCAGAACAAGTTGCAACAGAGACAGCGCAGCCCAAGCCCCCAAGGGATTTGAGAGTCGGCGACCGAGTTTGGGAAAGAAACTATGGTCAAGGGGCACTGTGGGTGGTAGCTGTTGTTTGTAAGGTGTCAGGACCACTCTCTTCCAGTGGTCCTGGAAGATGGGCGCATTTTGCGCCGCCACTTCGATCAGTTGCGTCGGTGGCAGGCTAATCTAACCCTCGCCACCGACCAAGAGGAGAGCCGAGGGCTACATGACAGCTGCAGCGCGTCTCCATCTTCGGAGTCCTGCGCGACTCAAAGAGAAATGTTGGACGACTCAGCCGTGGGTGAGTCACTACCAACCGAAGAAACAGTGCCTGCAAATCAGAGCTTGCTGGAGGACTTATTTCCCAGCCTTTCAGGAACTGCTCCGCTCACAGACAGGTGTACAGGTCTACCCGACCTGAGCAGACCAGCCGGAAGGAGACCGGTCTACCCAGCCAGAAAAGACAAACAGAGACTGGTCTACCCGGCCAGACAAGGCAAACAGAGACTGATCTACCCGAACTGAGCTGTCAAAAAGACTCTGCTCTACCCAGCCAACCGAGGGTAGACCGGGAACCTCAGGCAGAAATGAGGCGATCAAAACAATTGCAGAAGCCGCCTAAATGAATATGTACAATTTATGGATATGTATTGATTTAGGGGGAAGGGGTGTTATGTATTAAGCAATTCAAAGGGTCTGTTTTAAAAAACGGTTTACTGATTGTTCCATTTGAATGATAGACTGTCTGTCTGTATAACTTTAAACCTTTGTTTTAGGTGGGAATGAGTACTTTAAATTGATTGGCCGCTGCCTAGTGGCGGTCCGTATAAATATGTGTCAAGCAGCTGCTAGAGCTGGCTTCTGTGAGAACCTAATAAAGAGCTGTTAATTCTACTCTGTGTCTTCAATGCCTCGCTGTTCCCACTACACAACAAAGGGCATCTTTAGTCTCTAAAGAAACAATGGAAATAGAGGTTATATTTTATAATGAGAGAATGTTGCTTCAAGGGTAGATGTACTTTAAAAACACTCTTAAATAATAGTAGAATGTGGGTATGACTGCTTTTAAAGTTACTGTGCTCATAATAATTTTACTGCTATTGCCAATTTATCAACAGTGCTTTCTGTGGTTATATTAAATGTAGTGGAGAAACAGTAAAATAACCAAACTGCAATAAATTAAACTGTATAATTCTTTTTAGGATTTACACTCTTGCTTATAGAACCAGGTGTTCATGAGGACCAAAATGATAGATAAATTGCTGAAATCAAATAAATCAACAACAAGTCCAGTTATCCTGCAAATAAAAAAGCAGTAATACAAAAGATTTCAAAGACTTGCCAACATAACAAACTTGTGATTATGATAATTTAAATTTGTAAAGCGTGTGCACTCTGAATTTAACATTATAACTAAAATAGATTCTCAGCACTATCAAGCAGATTTCAGTTTACCAGATTCTTTGAACTGTGAGCAAAATCTGCTTAATCCCTCCCAAAAAATTTTGTTGACATCAGTCTGGAGTGAATCACTGGAACCATGATTTCTTAACCACCACTCTTTCTTTCTTTTTTTAATATACATTTTATTGTTTTTTTTTTATTTTAACATCAAAGTGCTCAGGAAAACACCGTGGTGAAAGGGTACTCAATCATAACAAAACAAGTCATATATATATATAACTAAAATTAATACCTTAAAAAATAAAAATAAAAATTCCCCCCTCTATTTCCTCACATGATATAACAAATTTAGTTTAATCTATTTCTTCTTAAAATTCAATCAATCCACAGAATCATCCCTACTATTACATCTACATAAATCACTCCTGCTTTTAAGCTCCACTAATTTCAATTAAAATATTCCAATTAATCTTAAACAAACATATTAATACAATTTTGGGTATCCCTTCTACAACACACATTATATTCCAAGAGTAACATTCTAATATTTTCATATATATTCCATCTCTTAATTTAATACATCATTAATTAATCCCCTTTCTTCTCTTATCATAGATCTCTCTAATTCTTCTGCTATTACAAAATAGTTTTCTATATAAACAGAGTAAAAAAAACAAAAAAAGAGAATCATTTCGATCTGTTAAGTAAAATTTAACTCTCAACCAAATTAACTATCGTTTCTAAAACAAACATATTATTACACCAATTATTATCTTACTGCTTTCATTTACTCAATTAGATTGTCCAATCAGTCCAAATTTCTAAAGCCTTTTTGACCCAATAATTAAAATTTTAAATCACATTTTTAAATCTAACTCTGGCTTTTTTTCTATACCAAGCTGATTTTCGTAATGTTGCTTCTATGTCATCAAATCTCAGTATTTGAATACTAATGTTTATCAACAAATTGATCTGATCAAAATTCTCTTCCCCTTCTTCCAGTATCGTATACGCAATATAGTCCATTTTATTCCATATTATAATTTCAGCTTGCTTATCCAGGTTGTCATAACTTTCAATCGATTGCGTCTGGCTGTCAATTCCTGTTAATTTTGGCAATGGGAGAACTTCACTTATAGTCATTTTTTGATCTTCAAGGTTCTCCATTTGTACATAGACTTGTGAAATATCCTCCTCTGTAGTAGTTAGTTGATTTATAGAGTAGTTATTTAAGGTCTCAATCTGGGATTTTGGGTCCAGAATTTTTCTAAAGTTCAATTGATCAGTGAGTTCTTCCATCTCAAATTGTGTACACTGTTGCATATAAGCTTCTTCTTGGCCTGTAGATTGGTCTTTTAAAATTTGGGGCTCAACCACCACTCTTTCTTAACCACCAATATGTAATATTAAAATATAGCTGTGGCAATGCATGGACAGGTGCCAGCTCTAGCTTCTGTTTTACACATTATAATCTTTACTGATTTGGTTGGATTTTGCCATCTCATAGTCATTCATATACAACTATAAAAATTTGGACATGAATTGGGATATGCAAAAATAGCAGAAGCAAAGGACTATTGCTATTGACATGATCATCTTTATAAAAACATTCAGAAATCCCAAACCATTTAGAAAGTCAACTGTTCAGCACAATTGAAAGAGAATTATGTCACCTGACCTAGAGGACTACATTGCAAATGTACACATTTAAAATTTAAAATGTTAGAATATGGAATTGTATCTGTATAACCAAAAATCTTATACTGCAGTTTGTAAAAAGCAGTCAAACGTCCAAATCCATAGGAGAGTACCCCAATGTTAAGGCATATTTTTCCTATGCTCATTTCAAAATGTTTGAAGTAAGCAATGATACTTTAAGGGAAAAAAACAAGGATTTGAGGAAATTATTTGATGTGGAACAAAGTTGTGTGTGTGTGTGTGTGTGTGTGTGTGTGTGTGATATGTATATAGCTTTTTAGACTCTGAAATTGTGTTTCATATTTAAATGCAAAATATTCCATAAGGACAACAGATTATTTTTTTGATTTTATAGGCTGTGACAATTATTGAATGTTAAATAAACTGTTCCAGAAAATGGAGCAGCTATTATGAATTACTACAAACTACAAAGTAATAATTATGTTCTATGTTCAAGGGGTTGGTAGACATTTGAAGTAGATCACAGTCAGTCTAGCATTTGAAATATGAAAAAAGTTAGGTTTGTGGTCTTAGGCATGCTGGTTTTAAAGTATGTGAAAAAATTATCATCAGATTAGTTTTATATTTCTCTGGAAAAAGCAAAAATGCCAAAATTAAGGATTAAAGAAAACATTCCAGTTTTTTTAAGTTTTTGAAAATCAAATTATCAAATCCTTCGATTTTGAAGAACGGAGACCACATCATTTTAACCCAGACATGTCAAACTCGCAATGTCATGTGACATCATGCAACGTATCGGGACGGTTTTGCCATTGCCGGCAATGGGGTGAGCGCGGCTTCTGGATGACGTGTCCGGCCTGTGGGCCGGCAGTTTGACACCCCTGTTAACCTCTTTGTTTTTATGAAAGAAAACTCTTTCTACATAGGGTTAAAGAATTTGTTTTTAATCACAGACAGAAACATCATGATTACAAAATGGATGGTTAAATTTAAAACTACCATACATACAATTCGAATTAGGAATTTTTTGCCCATCATCTCAACTGCCACCACTGCTGGCAGACTGGTAGCTCAAACAATGTCCATACTTGCTTATGTGACTGAACAGTGAATTCCTGAAGTATGAGTGATGCTGCACAGCTTGGCTCAGGGAGACAGGCTGAATTCCCATAGCAAACTCATCATTTTCTCCCCATGACCTCTAGGGTACTACATCAGGAATCCCAACAAGTTTGCAGCTTTCTGTCCAGAGTCTTTTCTGCAACTCATCATCATAAGAGACATCAGCAGATTTTGTCCTTTGCTCATTGTAAAGGTAGCATCCACCAACCCCTTCCAGTTCTGGTGAAACTGCTGCGTAGGTCGATGTAGATGCACCTTCTTCTGGTGTCTGTAGATTTGAGAAATTAAACACAATTCAAGATTGAAAACATAAAGAATGTGAAAAATTAAGATGAAAACAGTAACTTTTAATTTTTCTGCCAATGTAATTAAGAATTATTCTTATTTCTATGCCAATACCTAGCATTTGAGAGAGAAAATAAACGAGAAGAATGATACTGACCATGCTACTTATTTCTAAAGAAGTGAATTAAAAAAGAAAAGAAGAAACCTTAAGAGACAATAAGGGTCTCAAATGCATGATTAAAGTGGCATGATTGAAAAAGTCACAAGATTACAAGGGCCATCCAAAAACAAGTATGAACAATTCTGATGTCATTAATAAATTCCCTTATTTGGGATGCTTTTCTATTTATTAGCCTGCTTGCATATATGAAGATATACTGAAAAGACAGGCCTCTTTACTACAATGGATTTGGTCCAAGATTTTTCAATCTCTATGCAGCAACATTATACATAACTGCAAATAATTCCTTCTTCAGAAACAGAATTAATGCATTTCTGAAAGTAAGCAATGATACTGAGATCTCTAGTGTAATTAGTTTTTTTACCAAGATGACAAGTTCTGTAATCAGCCATAAACAGATGAAAGTGTAAGTTATCTGTATAATGCATTTTGTTCAGTTACCACACACAAGCCAGAGATCATGAAAACAAGACTGCCAGCGAATTGTGGCATTTATTCCAGAACAGCAAGGTAAAATCAGAGGATTTAATTTTAGTCAAAGAATTATCATCAAAGTGCTTGACTTTCAAAGTGAAAACTAGTATGTGTCAGAAGAAAAATCAAATCAGAAGCAATGTTTTTTTTAATTGGTATGATATTATTTGGTTCACATTTAAGAGTTTAATGCAAGTATTATTAAAATATTCCTAGTTTTTTTTAAATTATGCATTTAAACATTTTTCTTTTTGTATCTATTGTTACATTTCTGACTGATGCCAATGGGCTGCCATGCATAATTAAACCAAACCAGGAGTTTTATTTTGCTGACACTGAGAATGTAATGGAAATTTATTCTACAGATTTTACTGAAACTTATAACCATCTGAAACAGTAGGCAAAAACAAATAAACTTGATTTTTTAATTATGAAAACAACAACAAAAAAATCAGATTGTGAATTAAAAGACAGAAGTGGAAAAATAAAACTATAGTCTTCCAAAAGCAGTTGTAATAATGAATTTAGCAACATATTTGAGCATCTTTAACAATCCAAAAGTATTCAGATACTTTCTCCAAGACTTTTGGGAGAATTTTACACAAAAATCTGCTTCTTCCATTCTACTATCTTGATCTCCATATATGGGATTTTAAGCAGGCATTTGGCTGCTGATGTTAACTGAAGTGATATGTTTTCTAAACTCAGCAAGTGCAAAATTTTGACACATTTTATAGGTCAATCTGAACAATGGATTTGAAAGAACTCTGTGTCCCTTACCTATTCTCACAGAGCAATAGATGTCTCAAGAACAACAGACATTTTTTTGCCCCACCAATATTCTTTCTCTGAATATATTTTATCCTGTTGTTTTCACCAAATGAAATTCATATCCTAACTAATAGTCCCACATTCCATGTTTATTTAATAAAGCTGTGGAGCGCTCTGGAGATGGCTTTGAAGGAAATAAACAAAAGTTGTTATGCATGCAACAAGGAAACAAGAAGAAGCAAACCCTGGGAAGGAACACAGCATTAGCCAGATGCTTAGGTTGATTCCTCTCTGACTCAATGGGGTATGAGATGGAGCGAAGATAAAATACAAAAAAATTGCAAGGTTCTATTCAATATTGCCCATCTCAATAGAGTATAATTATTGTATTTCTGTGCAGTTGGTTTCTTGATCTGATCTGTCTCTTAGAGTTGATTAAAACAGAGACCCAGAGCACTATAACAAATTTCCTTTCCACAATGGATATGAAGAACACTGAATATTGTATATTGTATACCAATTCCTAATAAAGTTGTTTGCCTCAGGCTACATGCTTCTTCTCAGGAGTGAGTTCACACAGCAAGCAAATAAGAAGGATAAACACAACTTGGTAGCAGAAATCATGAGAACCCAAGACAAGAATTCAGACTAGAGAGTAATATATTGTGATGGTTTGTTCTGTCTTCAAATTGTTTAGATGAAAATATTATGTCTTGAATAATTGCCAGTTGTATGTTCTGAACAAGGCTGGTTGACAGTGGGATTGCTTCTTGCTGAGCAAGCCAAGGCTGCTGTAGAAATTTTTAGAGGAACAAGGCAAACAATTTTCAAAGTGAGAAAATAGGGAAAACAAAAATGAATTTAACCCATGAATTTTTGCCAATATGATAAATAGTTCAGGATGATGGAAGCTATAGCCCTAAGAACTGGCAACTCATTTAGAGCAAATATTGCTATTATCAAAGTCTTGGCCCCATGCAAATTAGTTTTCACCCCCACATATCTATCATAATCATCAGCCAATATCAGTTCTGGTTGTAATTGAGGCTTATAATTCGATTTTTTTAATGCTCACTGAAATAAAATCTTTACACAAATATTTTCAGATTAAATATCGCATATCCTTTTTTCTAAAAATGCTTTTCTTGAAGTTAGACTACCTCTTGACTCATTTTTTTAAAACAATGAAATAATCTTCTTTTTAAAGGAGTTTTTGCTCCATTTATATTCCATGTTAGGCATTTAAAATCCATTTTATGTCAAAAACTTAGCCTGGTGTGATGGCCTCTTCATCAGCTTCTTGTAGTTGTTTAGAGTCTAGAGTGCTAGGGCCCTTTATCACTTCCATTTGCATTTCTTCCAGTTCTTCTTTAAAATGTTCTAGAAATTAGGTTGCTTTTTGGATTGAATTCAGTATGAACATCTCTTGTTTAAATGAGGAAATCATTCCTTCCAATTTATCCCATTAAAATGGTATTTTTTTCTGTTTAAGCTTGTCAATCAAACAGAAGTGCTCTTTTCGTTTGTTGCAGAATTCTAATCAGAATATTTTTAAATACAATCATATCTGTGTTATTCATTTCAGTGTAGTAGTGAAATGCTGTGGCAAAACTTGTTACCTGTTCTTCTTTCTGACACAATGTATAAGAACATCCCTTGGTACATTTCTTAGTTTTGCAAATTGTCTATTGATTCTATAGACTTTATCTATTTCTGCCTTCATGTCATCTTGATCCCATTAAAAAAAAAAGTTAGAGATTGACCAATATTTTCTCTAGTATTGTCTCCAGGTTCCTTTGGAACTGTTCCAAATATCAGGAAGAATTCTTTTTCCCTCAGTTCCAATAACACCAATTTGTCTAAATCATTTTCGTTCTCTCCATTTATTCTTTGTTTTATTTTCAAAAATTTCAACTTTGTCATTAATTTGTTTCTCCAGTAAGATGTTCTAAAGATTCAGTTTTTTCTAACTTTTTATTTCATCCTCTGTTTCATCCTTATGAAATTTCTTCTATTCTTCTCTCAAATGCAATAACCTAACTTTTGACAGATTTGACAGATTTAGATGCCTGCTTTCCCACTTCTTCAAACATTTGTTGTAATATTTTTGGGGTAATTCTTTCATCAATTGCAAACATAAAGGTTAAAAAGCAGGGCTCTCTCTCTTTTTTTTCTCCTTCTCTTTCCCTACCCCCTCTCTTTCGCTCTGCTTTTCCAGAAATGGACTCTTAAGGCCTTAGTCCAATATGTTTTTCTGCATTTCAAATGACATAATCCATCTTATATTATGCTTATCTCCTTACTTTGTAACTTCCAAGAATTATTTTTTCCCATTTATTGTCAAACTATCAAAATTTAGTCTGTTTATTCAATTCCCAGTAGCCCCAAAAGACTTTTGTCAAAATATTTATCTTTCAGATTTATACCATCCCTTTTGTCCATTTGCAACTTGCTTAATAAAATCTTGATTAAGCTCTTTGCTACCATTTTAAAGTCTTTTAAAAGTATTGTTTTCCTCTTTGCTTTACTTTTTTTGTAATCCAGAAGGAAAGTTCACTCACTAAAAAGTTCTCTGCTATTTTCGAAGACCTCTTTTCAACTGTTAACTGATTATAGCCTGAAGTTATTTAGAAAGTGAGAATTGATCAAACTTAGCGTCCTTTAAAAGACTGCATATTGTGCGTCTTTTTTCCCCTTGAGCCCTAGCTGCTCTACTCACAAGACTACAAGATTTCCATCCCATATTCTCCTCACATGGAATAGTTCACTATTGCTGTGCCATCTCTGTTACTTTAGAGGTATTTAGTCTACCACAGATCCTCACCTGGAAGCCCAAATTCTAGGGATCTTAATACAATGCTTTTCCAGTTCTTGGAGATGGAGGGGGCCAATGAATATGAAACAATAACTACTATCATGGATAATATGAATGAATGAATAAAGACTGTCTCTTTCAAGCACCAGGTTTAAAATCAAGCTATTTGGCATAAATGAGAGGGAGAAGCAGCAGCAAACTGAATACTTTTTATTCACTGACTATATCTCAGAATTAGTATGGCTATCATGCCAGCCTGCTAGGAAGATGGAAACAATAAGATCTCAAAAGTGATGGACTTATCTAAAACATTTCAACATCATGGTGTAATTTGCACTGTGTCTGCCTTTTTGCTTGCCTCACTTTTGCAATGTAATAGGCCAAATGTAAATCAGCTCTGGTTCTGCTTTCATCCAGGGCTGCTCAGGAAAGTCCTGGGAACCCAGAATAGACTGCATTCATGCTAATAAAATTACATTGCATCTTGAAAATGATTTGGTTGCTTCAGGTGAGCCACAACAATATGTTCCAAATATAATTTATATCAGCTATTTTCTTGCAATGGTATGCCATTTTGCCATAGAGTACATATGATTAAAGCTAAACATTGAAGACCCAATGTTTGGTGTTTACAATTGTCACATTTATTAAGCAAAGACTATGAAGTCAACAGAAAATGACAAAAAAAGATAGTCCATAGTTCTTCCCTATGAAATTTCACCGTTACTTTTTGTGAATTTCA